GAGCAAATATAATTTGGTATATACATTAAAACTAAAGGGGGATATACATAAGTATATATGCATACATATCTATATAAGTTGGTGACTTCATCAATATGGACAAAAAATATTAATATTTATAGTCTTTCTTCCTCATACCTCCCAAAATCTTTCATCCTAAACGAAAGTTTAAAATGAGCCCAGCACAGTCAATGTGTATTTCGGTATAAGAAAAGGCGGCCTTGTTTCTCTGTTCAGTTACGAAGATTTCAATCTAAAGCGCTGTGATGATAGCTTCATTAATCTCTCCAAAAACAAACAAGCGGCTCCGCAGCTCAGCCCTTCCCCGCAGCTGAGTAAGCCGCAGGGAGGAGGGCTCGACCCGCCAGCGCGGGCAGGCTCGGGGCAGGAGCTTTTCCAGAAGGTTAACGCAGGCCGAGCTGCAAGGGAAGAGGTATGACTCATCTTGAAAAGAAACTATTGTAACTGACTCGTAAAAGATAGCCCTCACATTCTTAAGTACCTTTCTCTCTTAAAACTTTAACAACAAGAAACGGGGAACGGTATTAAATAAAACACCTACTCATTTCCACATCTCCTGCTCTCTCCTGTGCCAAATCAGAACATAAATGGGTAAAACGAAATGCAGCCTGTGGCTTACATAGCATAATTATATGTTGTATTTTACACTGCTTCGAAACGGATACATTAAAATAATCCAGTCTTGGCTCCTGCCCACTAAAGTCAATAAGGGTTAGTAAGGCCAACGGCCACAGAAAGGCGGTGCTACCCCCGCGGAGGAACTGTCAAGACAGGAAACGCAACTCAAAACATTCCAAGCCATCAGCGTCTCGAAAAGAAAAGAGCAATGAAGAAAGCAGGAAGACATTTCTCTCCAGCGCAGAAATCATCAGTACTCCTGCAAATGTTTACTCTGGAAGCGAATATTTCCATTGGATTATACCAAATTGAGCTTTTTTTTCTAAGGTCAAAAGGAAATGAATAAATGTCATCAATTTAAAGGACACCCCACCTAGCATTCTCTTCTGTATCGCTGCGAGGTTGATAGTGTTAAAGCATTTCATAGGTAAAATAAATGTCAGTTTTGCAGAGCGCGATAGCAGACCCTGCGAGACAGCGGCCTATCCGCTGCATCTCCGGCTACAGCACGGCTCCCTCACCTCACAGGAGACTTCGGCTTTTCAGATTTCTCTTTACCCAGAAAGCAAAGCTTGTCCAGTTTCTTTCAAATGGAAACTCTCTCTTATCCTGAGAAGTCTGCTCATAATACGGTAATCTTGACTGTGGGCGGTGAGCTGATTTTTAAAAATAAAATACAAATATTTGAATAGTGTGATGGTGGTATAATGCCTTCCCAAATAGAGAGCAAAGGAGAGGAAAGGTTAGGCTAAATTCCTGGGTTAGAAAAAGCGTTCTGTTGCTCTGGGGTTAACTCAGGAGGCAATATTCAAGGAAAATGTGATATTTTATCAGAATGTCATTCAAATCGAAGGTTGAACATTTACATCACAAGAGCGTGCTCAGGGTAAAGCCATCCTCGGGGAGGGGGAGGCGAGAGTAAACAGCGCGATGCAGACGGAGCCGGCGGATGGGAAAGCGCGGAGAGGCTGGGGAGCATCCGAGACAGCTGACTCAACTTTTTGAAATAGGCGACCGGTTATGACATGTGAAGCAATTACTGTTAATGGCAGAAATGCGGTTTCAAAGCTCATTTTCCATTCTTCTCTATCCTACCTGAGACCACACCTTCCAGCCGCAAAGTAAAAAAAAAAAAAAGGGGGCACAAAGACAGAGAGAAATTACAACGCCAGTCTCTTCGCTGACACAAGGGCTGTCAGAGGTTGCGTTACTCATAAGCAGAGGGGAAAAGTAATGTACATATTGCCTGGGGTTTTTTGTTTTATTTTCTTGCCAAAAGAGATCGATGCCATGTTGCGGAACAGACAAAAGACATTAATTAGAGAAGTCTTTCCACAACACACACGTGATTTTAAGATTCCAAAAAAAAACACACCAAAAGCATAAAGATAAAGAAGAATCATTTGTCTAAAAGGATAGTAATTTTGAGTAATATATTCCCTGGAAGCAACGTGAGCACATTCAGAAATGCCGTTTAGATTAGTCTAATTCTATAGGATCCAAATGTGCGCCAAACTCTGCACTTTTTATGTTAAATTGCTGTTGAATTTGTTAACCCACAACTGATTTCCTGTGTTATGGAATCTTGGAGATTACAGCTAACTTGGAGCAACAGGGATAATTCTTGACAGTTAATGGTACATTTGTATGCATTTTCCTGAAAGGCTAGCATTTGGGGGCCTCGAACTGGTAGCTCAACATTGCCCCCTACTGCTTGCAACTGAAAAATATGAGATGGGCTTGGTGCAAAGTCGGCATTGAACCAGCTTGTGCCAAGTACACAAATACCAGATGGTCCTGCACAAACAGAACCACGGAAGCACGGACTTTTCCAAGGATCATTCTCTTCTGTCTCCTCCAACCGCAAAAATAAATTATTATGAATTTGTTCAAAGTCATTAAAAAAAGGCTTGAAGCAATGCTTAGATTTAATTTAGAAGTACCATCCCTTTTATCTTGGCCCAAACCTTCGCTCTGCTGATAATGATCATCCTGAGGCTTGCTGCAGACACTGAGGCCATTCATTTCACTGGGAACACTCAGTAATGCCACACCGATGGCAGGCAAGCACACTCTGGAGAAGTCCCAGGATTGCTCTTCCTTTTCAGTATTTTTTTACACAAGCGTTAGAAAATAAATAGAAGATATTCCATCTCATGTGCCACTGCCACCAAATATTAAAAAAACACACGTTATAACTAAATCTCTTAAATGAATTCACAATGAACATCACTGGCAAGCTCACAATACCAAAGATTTCACTTTTTAAAAAAGCAAAAAATGACAAAAGCAACTGAAAAACATTTTTAACAAAATTAGCGAGTTCCTCCCGTATTCGTCTGCCAATTCTAATTCACAGAGTTGTCAAATTACAATCCCCAAGTCAAGCTGACGTCTTACAGTCAAGGTTCAGCAAGTAAAGAAGTTCAAACTCAGACGTAAATGGACAAAACCAAAATGAAGGGAAAAAAAAGGCCTGAAATTGAAGCTGCCTTTATATATCCATCCCATAAAAACGAGTGCACACCACACGCGCTAATTTGAGGAACAGGACAAAAGGGGGAGACGTAGGCATGGACTTTTCATTACCTCCAACTCGGGTTTACGATACTCAGCTTTGCACTGATTCATTTCTTTGGAGAACCCCATTCCTGCGATACTCAGCCCTCCACAAGGGTTACAGCGTTCTTCCCTCAGATATACGTCCATGAAATGCATGGTTTAAAGATTTGAGGAGGCATCTGGAAAGCAGGGACTTCTGGATTCTCACCCAGACTTTCCAACCGGGCCCCTCCAGGGCTGTGACTTGCTAGTTTCATTATTATAAAATGGAGGTTAGCAATAGCAGCCCGTTTTTGCAGATGAGTTCATTGTTTCCAGCACATTTCAAAGTCTATGCAGTGACGCTATCTCAAGAGTTCAGCAGGCTTTTATCACTCCCCCCCTGCACTCCAAATTCAACTGTCTGGAGGCGCAGTGGTGAGGTGCTGGAGGGTGTGACCCTGGAGCTGGCCTCCGGGAGTTCAAACCCCAGCTCCCCACTTAGAGTCAATGACCCTGAGAAAGTGATGTGGACCCTTTTGGGCTTCGGTCCCCTCGTTTGTAAAAGGGGAAAATAACACCTACTTTATAGAGTTGTCCTACAAGTTAAATAAGTTATGTATAGAGCATTTAGAACAGTGTCTGGTACATAGTAAGTATCATGTAAGTATTTGCTATTATTACTATTAGTTAAATGAAGACTTTATTCAAGCCCTCGTGTGGCCTCTATGCCTTCCAGCTACATTTCCTGCCACGCCCCCTGAATTTCTTGTCTCACTCGACTCCCCCACTTCTGATCTTGGTTATATAGTTCCTGGAGCCTAAATTCTTCTCCAAGTGCCCCATCTGACCCTACTCTGCCCCATCCAAGGTCCCCAAGAGCCACACCTATGGTTCTACAACAGTGCCGGCTCCAGTGGTCTGAACTGAATACTCTCCGCTCCCAACTGCGATTTTCAGACATCTCTGTGACAGGGTCCCCTTTAAGCTAATGTGGCACCTGGCGGTATCCGCGTCTCCCTCCTCATTCAACCGGGGCAGTGGCGGGGGCACAAGCTACAGAGCAGGACTGCCTGAGTTTCCGGCTTGCGATGCCACTTACTGGGGGATCTTGGGTGAGGCACTCTTTTCTCTATGCCTGTTTTCACATCAATAAATTAAGGCTCATGCCCTGGCCAGTGCTGCTCAATGGGAAGAGTGTCAGCCTGCACAGCGAAGGGCCGTGGGTTCGAATCCCAGTCAAGGGCATGTACCAGAGTTGCAGGTTGGATCCCCAGCCCTGGTCAGGGTGCGTGTGGGAGGCAACCAATGGACGTGTCTCTATCACATCAATGTTTTCCTCTCTCTCCCCTCCTTCCTCTCTCCCTCCCTTCTAATCTCTCTAAAATCAATGAAAAAAAATATCCTCAGGTGAGGATTAACAGAAATAAATAAATAAATTATTTAATTAATAAGGCTCCTCACAGTTTCTGGGGCTCACAGGACTGTGGAAAGAAGTTTGAAAGTTAATAGAGGGAAACCCCTTAGAATAATGCTGGTACATATAAAGATACAGATAAATTTCAGGTACCATTGTTACAGTGCTCTCTCCTCGCTGTTCTTTCCTAGGGTGTCTAACACAGCGCCCCTTATGTAGGAAATGCTCAAAAAATGTTCATTCAACTGAACGGAGGTCAGACTGACAAAATCCCGGCTGCTCCATTACCTTACCAAAAGCGATCAACTCGCTAATTCAGAAGAGTCCCGTGTGTATTCACCTGCGCACACGAGGCGCGGAGAACCGACCCGCACCCCCGGACACCGGCGCGGGCCGTACTTACCACGCCTTCCATCCGGCGCCACATGTCCTCCAGCTGCGCCATGGGCTCGCGCCACCAGTCGGTGCACTTCCTGTAGCGAGTGCCTTGGAACCAGAACTGTCTCAGCCACTCGAACTCCACCTGCGGACGCAAAGACCGGGGAGGTGACAATGCCCTCGTGGTGCCCGGGCAAGGGCAGCACGTGGGCATCAGCTCTCCCTCAGCAGCTTCACAGCCAGAGGATGAGAACGGAGAGAAAAGCTCGGCCTAACCAGTTCCCAGAGTAACCTGCAGTCTCCAGAGCACTTCTGCAAAGCCAGGGAAAGAGTCGCCTCAGTGCTCAGCGAGGTGACCCAGCTCGGGCTGGGGAGGGACTTGCAGCCACATTGATCAGTCCGACGCCGGGCAGCCGTAAGTCATCCAACGGCAAGTGCCGAGATCCTAAAGCATACAGCAGCCTGCACTGTGTGTGATGGGACAGATATAATCCAACAAAGTATGTTTTTATTAGATATCTTTACTAGAGATTAGCATCAAGGGCAAAATACACATATTAGGAGATACTGATTTTAAGTTTCTTAGATTTAAAATAAAGAATTTATCTGTAGGCCGGGAGGAGCTGGTGATAGATGTCCACCCACACAACCACACATCTAACAACACAAAGTTAATTACGGAGGTGCACACACATTAACCCTGCAGAGCCAACCAAGTCGTCGCTCCTCAACTTAGGGCAAATGACAACAGGTACAGAGAACAGCAGAAACACTAACAGCATCTTTTCTTTCCTCTGACCCTACTGTGGCAACTAATAACCACAGAGGTTTGCAGTGAGGACTAAGTGGGTTAATAACAAGCAGCTTACTATGTGCCAGGCACTTGCTAGGTGCTAAGAACAGGAAGTGGGCAAGGCCACAAGGTCCAGAACTTACTGCCCACCCCCTCTCAGGAGGCCGACCAGAAAAGTCCAACGCCAAGGACTTACTCCCAACAGAGTTCTATTCTTGAGTGAAAGTACTGCCCGGGAGATACAATCTTGGTGGGCATCAGATCCACTGGCATGCATTTTATTCCAGTCCATGACCCGACCTTTCCATTTCAATGTTGTGAGCAAAAATATTACAGGATTGTAATCAAATGCCACCCTCACGAGTTCCTCCATTGCCAAGAGAAGTAGTTGGCTCCTTTCTTCAAATTAATTGAGGGAGGGGAAAAAAATCCTAGCTTCTTGATTCAGAGTTTGGATTACAAAAAAATAGCTGGGTTGTCTCTCTGCCCTACCCTACCCTAAACTCTGGGGGTGAAAAAGGAGGGCTGTGGGGTGGACACTGCACAAAATCCAAAGGGTAAGGACCCAAAATAGAGCAGAAGCCTTCTTACGTCAGGGCTAAAAGAAATCACTCTAACCATGTTGACGGACCGATAAAGTTCTAGCCAAGGCCCGAGAAGGATCTTCATTCCTTCCCCAGAGTCTAGTTCTTCTGGGAGGCTCACAGCTACCAGAGCAGAAATAAGAGACAAGCCATCAGGAGGGGAGCTGCTGACGGTGGCCAAGGAACCCTCCACGGGCGATGCTGATCCCCAGAGATGTGAGCAGCAGGGAGACCACGACCAGGAGCTCTCTAGAGGCTCTCTCAGAGTTCATGATGCTCACAAGCCTAACTCCCAGACTTCCGTCTTGCACTTACGGAAGTTCACTAGAGTGCCCACAGGTATCAGAAGGCATGCTGACAACCAAGGGCCCTTGAAAGGACCTCTGAGTCATCACAGAAAAATGAAAGTATGTTCACAATGGTGTCAGTTTCATAGCTGTGACCCAAAACCCATCTCTATAACCTTTTTAACTAACTCACACCTGCCTTCTCCACAGAATAGCCAAAAAGATCGATCGAGAAGAGTTTTGTTCTAGAAACGTCTAGAAGAGTCTGAAGGAGAGAAGAAACAGAATCCACCCACCCACCTGAACCTTCTAGGTCATCGGCCACTTAGACGTGAGGAAAGCGAAGCTGATGAGATTCTGAAACCATATTTCTGAGCTACTACACCACCATACAGTTATAAATCATCTCCATTACTCTTACAGGTAAGGAAACATCGCCTATTTTTTCTTCCGCCAAGTTCGTGTGGGCTCTTGACTAGATCCCAGGTCAACTCATGGAGTTCCTTCATGAAATGTGTGAACATGGCCAGTGGGGTCCATAGCTCATTGTAATCACTGAGAAACACCTCGGACCAGGGAGAGATGCTAAGGTGCCATCTACAAAGGGCCACCCTAGGAGGGCCCTTCCACAACAGCTCTGATCAGAACCGGATGAGAACCGAAGGATGTCACTGAAGAACACCTGCTCCTAGGGGACGCTGGCCAGGTAAAGAGACTAGATTCCACAGTTTACATTTTCAAGAAGAAAGACCAACTATTCACGAACACAGAGAAAGATTCTGCTTATAACAAAAATCTTTTCTAAGCATCTTAAGTTGGAAAAAAAATATATCTTCTTGTGGATTCGGTTCCAATCCCAAAGTTCCCAAATTGCTTAGTTAGAAACCATCTAAGACAAGGAAGACAAGCCACTTCTAAACCCACACAGCCTAAAGGCCTGCAGTACATAAAACCAAGGACTTCGCCCTATCATTAGTCCAGCAAAGGCACATGGCCTTTAAGACAGGGCAAAGCAAACAACGAGGGCCCGGGGTAACTATTATGGACAATCATGCTTTCATAACAGGTCACAGCAGCGACTAAGCCCAAGAGCGCCTGATCTCAGGCCAACTTGGACGGCACAAGAACTGTGTCTGACGATGTGCCCTGACATGTGGATTTAATTCTTAAGTAAAGAGATGGCCTTGAAGAATCAAAGATTGGGGGATGGAGAAGACTGGAATGCATGCTATCTGGAGTCAGGTTTTCTCTCTCCATTCAATGGTAGGCGGCCTCAAAGGACTAAGTTTCCTGATATATCGCTGCCTCACATTGCTAACACATACGGTGTCAAAAGCAGCCAGCCACTTTCTGAAGAAGATGAGTTCAGATGACACTGTTCTAGAAAAAGAGTGTGATTTTATAGAGCATCCATTCTGCTAGCCCAGCTCCTAAAACTGCAAGGTTTTTAAGAAGGAGGCAAGTACACTTCTAGGTGAGAATTTCTTCACTACAAATATGGAGAAAGACATAACTTTGTTCCCAGGTCAAATTCAGTGAGGTCTCCAGTACGTAAATGCTTATCTTTCCTACAGTTCTAGCCATCAGCAATGTCCCCGGCCAGGACAGGTAGAAGAGAACATGGACACCGACCAGGCACAATGAAGGTTTGGCTTAGCATTAAAAGTGGTTACTGTTTCCCTGAAAGGCAGAATTCCTTTGCCTTTGGGTCTGCAAACTATAGCAATGTTTCACAAACAGTGGGGCTGTTCACAAGATATTAAATATCTTTTTGAAGATATTATATTACAATGTTTCTCCTCTGCTCAAACCCCAGTTCCCACAGGGTAAAAAAGAAAGCACTTGTGTTTCCAGGGACCCTCAAACCTTTAGGGCACCATCTCTGTGACCTCATCTTCTGTAAACTCACAGCCTCACTTCTGCCACTCAAATCAAACTACCCCTTAACTAATTATGAACACAGTCTTTGCACTGGTTGGTGCCTCTACCCGAACGCTTGTTCCTCAGATATCCACCAGGCTCACTCCCTTACCTCCTGCAAGTCTCTGCTCAAAGGGCATCTTCTCAGAGAGATGTTCTCTACTTATCTCAATCTCTATTATTGTCACCTCCCTGCACCATGTCTATTTTCTTTAGCAATATATCCTAAACTACCCAGAAGAGTACTTAGCACAGGTTCAGTTATTACGTATTGAACATTCCTGTATTCCAAATTCTCCATCAATCCTTCCAATTACACCGAAAAGAAAGTCTCAGGTTGGTGATGTGATGATCTTCAACAATTTTCTTCTACTTGGTAAACTCTTTTCTCCTTTTAATAGTCCTTTTTTTTTTTTAGGTATAATTTACCCACCATAAAATTCACCCATTCTATGTACAGAATTCAATGACTTTTAGAAAATTTATGAAGTTTGCCCTAATTACCCTTCTTAATGTAAAGAACGAAGACTTTAGCTTTAGAGCCTTCTCCCCACAAGAATTTAATAACACTGCTCTGTTTTCATGGCTATATTTTTCTGGTTACTTTTTCTTTTGGCTGATGATGCTGGCTTTCCACTTGCAGTGGTAATATAAAGCTTCCTTCTTAAAGAAATGTACTTATGTAAAAATGAGTTGATTTAAAGAATGTGTTAAACAGATTAAAAAAATATCTGTAATCCAAAGATAAAGAAAAATTAAAAAGGTACTAATGAGAACAGTAAAGTTTGCAAAACTGACTCATGGGATCCAGACCTGCGGGTCTCACATACTGCAAAATTGGTACTAATAAACAAAAAGCAAGACACTTACACTTGCTTCTAGGATCCACCCTCAATTCCCATCAGATCTGTTGGGAGACTGTTCTTCATGGGTCTCTTGTGTTTCTGCATTGTAAGCAAGGAACTGTCCTTTGTTTCAAACTCACTGCAGTGAGAGTTTATATAGTGATGTTTATAAAGTGAACAGCTTTGGACGGTATAGTTTCTCCCTCCAGAGCAAAGGGCAGGTTTGCTAACAGACTTAGATGATAAAGACAGTGCCTTGATTTGAAGCAAAGAACAAGCATGCTTACTGCCTATTATAAAAGATTCGGGTTCCCTTGGCTCAGGTTCCTCTCCTATAATGCAACCCCTCCACCTGCACATGCTATCTGGCCCACTTTGCATTGCACTGTAGGAATAGAGGTTTGGAAAACTGGCACAGAAATGCTGTTACTCTAGCGACTGCTACTGTTGTAAGTAATAAAAACTGTCCTTTGTCTCTGGGAGTCACATGTCTTACACTCATATGAAACTATGGCAAATTAATNACTGCTACTGTTGTAAGTAATAAAAACTGTCCTTTGTCTCTGGGAGTCACGTCTTACACTCATATGAAACTATGGCAAATTAACTTGTAAGTTTGCAAGTAGGATATGATCTCAGATCCCCTTCACAGTTCTTCAAAACTCTCACCTCGTTGTGGATTTCTTCTCCTTGTTTCAAAACTGCAGGCTCCAAGGACTTCAGAGAGACTTCACCGCTGTCTGCCTCCTCACGGATGTTCTGCAGAGCCAACTGGCAGCGCTGTAAGATATAATCCAAGGTCCCCGTCGAGCACTGCAGAAAAAAACAGAAATCCAGATTATAAGCAAGTTCCAAATTTGCCATGCCTCTTCCTAGAACTGTTCACATTTGTCCCCATAACGTACATTCACCTGTCACCTTCACAGCTCAGCCTATACTCCTTAAGAATTACTATAGTGGACTGCCCACTGGGCTCTGTGCTACCAGCTTGGCCTCACCTGGGCCACTCATCTTGTTGGTTTTCTTTTATTATATAAGCCTCATATCTCTAACTAAAATGTAGGCTCCCTCAGGCTAATACCCTATTATTTATATGTAGAATATATATATGAATAGAACTGAGTTCTAAATGTAAAAATAACTAATTAACCAAGAAGTCAAGGACACTGACTTTACCTCAAGTGCCCTGAACTTAACACTGGGAAAGAAAGGTAACCAGAGTATAGGACTGTTTCAAAAATACACAAAATAGAACAGTCATGGCAGAAAAAAAAAAAAAAAAATGAAGTTATAAACACAGGGCAAATAACTCACTTTCCTTTTCTGCAATTGCAGTCCTTGGGGGAACTGATTCTTCAAGTAATGGGGACTACGTGGCTGATGCCCTCAAGGTCCGTTCAGAGGCATGACTTAGAACCTGGGTATCACAAGGGCACAGATAACTAGCTCATCCCTCTCTGGTCTGTGGGACCAAAACAGGTCAAATGGACAAACTCCTGCTTTGAATGATCCCATGTCAGAAAAGGAGAGGATGCAGACGGCCTGTGCATCCGCTTATTTAGATAATGACATGATTTCCTAGAATGATAAACAGTGAGCTATAAATACCCTTGAGGCTCAATGTGGAAAATGCATTCCCTAAAGGATTTTTATTTTAATATTTGTCATTTAAATTGATCCCTTAGAAAGGCTAACCTCCTAGCACAAAAATTCTTTGCACAGTTACTGCCATTTTGTACAGTGTGATATGGAAAAAGCCTGGGAAAAAAAAGTTTATGTGCCAAAAACAGAAGCTTGACTAATATGTATTTTAGTAAGAGGATCTCCAAGTGCCAGGAACATAAGGGAGGCAGCTCCAAACTGCTACCAAGAAAAAACAAAAACATGGAGTTGAACTCCACCTGTGCAAAACTGGACAAACTACTGTCTTCCCCTGATGTCTTAGATCCCTGTGTCTATTAATGGGAATGTCATCCCCAAATCACCCACACTTGACACCCAGAGTCATCCAAAAGCCTGGCACATGGAAACCATCTAATAAACCGTTTGTTCGTTCATTCATTCATTCATTCATTCTAACACTGCTCCCGCCACTTTAGTCGGTCAGGTGCAAAATCGGACACTATGTCTCCTACATTAATCATGGGAATTTTTCTTTTTCCCTTTGCTACTATCTTAGTTCAGATCCTGATAGGTTTAATTGATGTCTCTATCATATTTCTCTTCCTAAAGATATCTCCAATATGTCACTAGTAAGATAAATAATCAATATCCCACCTGCCAACCAACTTAAATTCAATCTCCCAATATAATATTCAAGATCTTTCACACTCTGGTCTCATTCAGGATCAGCCTCACCTGCTAACCATGGTATCAGGTTCAAGTGCAGCCACTCAGTACTCCCCAGGTATCTCCACCCCATCCCAGTCACGAGATTCCCACCTGAGTCCTCACCCATTAGCTCTCCTCAACTGTCCTAAAATCCCCTCATTCCTACATGTTGAAGTCTTACCTGTCACCTCACCCATGAAGCCTGATGCTGTGTGCTACGTTCTATTCTGCACTATACCCACTCAGACTGTAAGCAGCTTGAAGATTCTGAATGTGTCAACCATCCCTCTTCACAGCATTATTTACAATAGCCAAGATATGGAAGCAACCTAAGTGTCCATCAACAGACAATTGGATAAAGAAGATATGGTACATACAGTCAATGGAATAGTACTCGGCCATAAAAAAGGAATGAAATCTTGCCATTTGCCACAACACGGATGGACCTGGAGGGTATTATGCTAAGTGAAATAAGTCAGAGAAAGACGAATGCCATATGATTTCACTTATTTGTGGAAGCTAAAACACAAAATAAATGAACAAACAAAACAGAAACAGACTCATCTATCTATACAGAGAACAGGCTGATGGTTGCCAGAGGGGAGGCTGGGTGAAAATGGGGAAGAGATTAATAAGTACAAACTGGCAGTTACAAAATAGTCACAGATGTAAAGAACAGCACAGGGAATACAGTCAGTAATATTGTAACAACTATGTGCGGTACCAGGTGGGTACTACTTATCAGGGGGATCACTTCATAAATTATATAGATGTCTAACACTATACTGTACATCTAAAACTAATATAATATTGAGTGTCAACTATAATTGAAAAATAAAAAAAATTTAAAGATAAGAATACATTGAACACAGGAAAGTGCAACAAAAGTTTTCAGAAGGAATGAACTGAAATTACTTCCCTCCTTCTGAANTAATTGAAAAATAAAAAAAATTTAAAGATAAGAATACATTGAACACATTACTTCCCTCCTTCTGAACAGTAATTTCAATCAACAGCAACTCTTACAGTCCAGACCCACTCCACTGATGACTCAGTGTCTCTTGCTTTATTATTTACCCTCTGATGTATAAATGGAGACAGAACAGCATCCCACACAAAGAGCTGGGGTTGTTCCTGTCTGCCATTGGCTTTTCATCAGGATAAATGGGAAGAGAGTAGGAGTCGCCGCAGTAACGGGAGCAGTAGCTTGATAGTGACTGCAGCGGCTGACGTGTTCTGAGCGCATGCGCTGCACCAGCCCATTCTGAAAGCCTTGCAGGTATTAACTCATTTAAGCCTCACATGAACTAGGCACGGTGCTCGTCCTCATCAAATCTATCTCCCCAAACTCTGTCTTCATCATTTTGTGCCAGTCCTCCGAGCACAGCATTAATCAGCTTGTCTACTCTGCCAGGTTCTATTTTAAAAGGTGCAAGAAGGATCCACTTAAGTAGCCACACTGTGGTCAAGTGGATCCAGAAGAAAAGGATTCCTGAGTGGGTTCTGGCTAGAGAGACAGAGGCCTGTAACATCTCGTATAAGAACGACGTCCTTGCCCAGCCGGGCGTGGCTCAGCGGTTGAGTGCTGACCTAGGATCCAGGCGATTGGGGTTCTATTCTGTCAGGGCACATGCCTGGGTTGCGGGCTCCATCCCCAGTGGGGGGCGTGCAGGAGGCAGCCGATCAATGACTCTCTCATCGTTGATGTTTCTCTCTCTCTCTCCCTCTCCCTTCTTCTCTCTGAAATCAATAAAGATATATTTAAAAAAAAAAAAAAAAAGAAGTCCTTTTTGTCCGATACAAAGCACATAGTAGATGGTCTGTAGATATTTGCTCACTTCTTTCCTTCACTACTTCCTCCCTGACTTCCTAACAGAGCTTAGTTTTAGGTCTCTAAGGTAATTATTTCTATGTTTATTTGTTTAATATTTGTCTCCCTAACTGAAACGCAAGTTCAACGAAGGTAGTAGCCATAATTGCTGTGTTGATGGCTGCATCCCTCTCGAGCGTGGGGTGCTGCTGGACACGCACCAGGCACTCAAACATTCAGGCGGATGGGGGAGTGGGAGAGGAGACGGGTGGATGGGGGGAGGAGTGGGGGACGGCCTGCTGCATGGTGACTGAAGCAGTCACTCACGCCTCCCTGCCACCAGCAGCATGGCCTGCCCGCCAGGAAAGCCGCCTCCCAGACTCGGGGCCTCAGGACTGGAGAGGCCTTGCCGCCCTGCCGCTGGTGGTACCCCCCCCCCACGTCCTCACTGCCGTACGATTAAGAGTCAAACTCTACAGCAAAGCTCTGTAACAGGCTTGGAGAGAGGTCAACCCGTAATCCTTGTCCCGATTCCTCTGCTCTCGGAGATCCTTCCTAACTAAGCACGCAGCACCCCAGGGTGACTGCCAAGGGTTTTCCTCATCGCTAAAGTTTCCATAACCAACTAGTCCCATCTTCTGACCACCAGCCGCTCCAAGTGGTGGCAGAATTCAGCAGTGAGGTCTGGGTTATAAACACAACTGGGAGCTCAGACATTCCTTGGCACCACTGTAAATTGCCTACATTTACATCCACATGCCCAGAAGCCTGACCAAAGAGTTCAGGGAAATGTAAATTCTCAGCTGTCTGAGCCCAAGCACAGCTAATGCATGCACAAGCACACAAATCCCTCCCACTTCCTTCTGGCCATCTCCTGCCCTTGACCTTGACAGATACGCACCCCGTAGAAAATCTCCAACTAGCAGCACCTGCCAACGGCACTTACCTTCTCCAAGAAACATAACCCCAAAGAAGCAAAATATACTTATCCCACGCTGTGAATACACTCTTTAAAACTATTCAACACAACTCAGGGCTAAAAAAGCAAGTAAACAGAGACTGAAGTCGAGTTAGATGGAAGTAATTTTCCTATCAAATGCTCTTCCAAAGTTCCATGATAAATTGCTCATTCAACCACTTCTGTCACATCCAATTAAGTCTGAATCACATTTTTATTTACACTTACCTCTGCCACACGGTGGGTGGAACTGAACCGAGGTGGTAAACCAGCCAAAACACAGTGTTGGTGGGTGGCATTGAGATCATCTGCAGGAAAAATACCAAAAATTAAAAACAAAACCACACATACACACACTTATTAAGTCTATACTATTTAACTAAAATACAAAGTAAACAGTAAATCCATCATTCAAACAATGACAGTAAAGAAATTAACAAATGCTTTGTATTCTTTAAAGCATTTTTTATAAATAAAATGACCAACAAGACCATGACGCTTTCAAGAGTGAAATGGAATGTTATTAATAATTATTCCAGAACAACAGGTGTACACCAGGACTGTCCTTAACTACTGGGACGTATGGTTACCTTACTTACTTGTAGTCTTAATGATACCCACTCCCCGCCAACTTAAAAATGCATGGATTGGACTTCTTCCTGTTTCTCATGACATATTGAATTCTACCCATGCCTTTGGAATAAGCTGAAGTTCTTGCATATCATTTGGGGTTGACTATCTTTCATCTGAAAATCTGCCTTTCTCTCCCCAATCAAAGCATCAATTTTGCCCTAACAATTTTCCAGGCAACAAAACAACCAACTCAGCATGTTGCAAAGCTCTGGCTCTCAGAACAGAACTCAATCCTATGGGTTCACAACCCAAGGATGGAGTAGGCGGTGAGTTCATCAGCTGAAGAATGTGCCTAAAACCACAGGCAGCGGGAGAAAAACCAATGGCCAAGTTGTGTATTCTAAGGAATGATGCCACATGTCAGGCAAAACCGGTACCACCTCCACTTAGGACAGCTCTTCCTGTATTATAAAGAAGAGAACTGAATAGCACTGAATAGCAACAGCGGAGGTCCATATAGGGAACAGAAGCTTCTTACCTAGATACCAAGAAAGGCAATGACACAAGCTAAGAGGCAAAGACCACAACACCCCTTACATGTCAGCAAAAACAACCTACAATGTTGCCTCTAAAGATAAGAAAGGAAACACATGCTGGAGTAAGGGTGACAAGGTTTACCCTCCAACCTTAAACAACTATGAAACAGACCAAAACTAGCAAACTCGGTCTCTGACACTGGAAAGCAGAGCAAGATATAATCCCAAAGGTAATAGAAATGATATGTCAGTGAGCCCTACAATTGTCCTAACTCACTCCCTGAAAAGAGTTTCAAAGCCACAGAAGAGGGAGGGGCAAGTCAGACAGAACATACAGTTTTCAGTTTCCCTTCTTGCTGAGTTGTGAAGACAGAAGCTGGAGGTTGGGAAAGCCAAGCCAGCAAGGACTTGTAAGGCAGACCACTAGAACAGAAGAACCTGCACAGACAGAGAGAAAATGAGAGAGAAAGAGAGAGAGAGAGAAAGAGAGAGCAAGCAGACATAGGCAAGAGGGTTCCTTCAAGTCAGTGCACCTGTGCATGAAAACTGCCCATGGTCAGGAAAAGCAGCACGGGAAAGCAAGAGGTTGAACAAATCTGAGACCTCACACAGGGCCAGGATCACTCTGTGTTCTCAGCAGGCAGAATGGTCCTACTACATGAGATAATGAACAGTCTTTAAAAAAGCATCATGTTAGTAGTAGTGCTAAATTAGTCTTAGATTAAAGGCTTCTGGAGATCCACTGAATAGCTTAAAAGTAAGCCTTAAAAGATTTAAACTTATTCCAAATAACTTAATTACTCACCAGAGCAAAGTCCAACACTATTTAAAAGAGTATAACAAAATCAGACACTCAACAAATAAAATTTGCAACGCCCAGTATCCATTCAAAAATCAACATAAGAGAGAAATGAAAGGCATGTGGTATATATCTGATACATGATACAGAAGACAGATACAGCTTTCCTTTCTTTCACGTGTATGTCTGTTATATATAAATAAAATGGAGCATCTAAAAAGGAAAAACATAGTTTCTGAAATATCACATTGAATGAGATCACCAGTGCTTTAGACACTACAGAAGGAAGCATCAGTAAACTGGAGTACACAGAAATAGGAACTACCCCAAACAAAGCACACAGAGTAAAGAGGCAACAGCAACAACAAAAACGACCACCCATGACCTGTAAGACAATATTAAGCAGTTTTAACATACAGTAATTTGAGTTTCTGAGGATGGATAACAAAAAAAAAATGTTCTTGAAGAAATGATGGCCAAAGAGAAAAAATAAGAACAAAGAACAAGGGCAACAAACAAAAAACACTAACAGATAAGGTAGGTATTCACTCAACTATATCAATAATGACTTAAAACATCAATGATCTAAACACACCAATGAAAAGCCAGCGACTGTCAGACTGGATGAAAAAACAAGAGCAAACTATACGTTGAGAACAAGAAACTCTCTTTAAATGTAAAGACATGTATAGATGAAAAGTAAAGGGCTGGAGGAAGACGTACTACTAATACTACTTAAAACAAAGCTGAGGCCCTGCGTGAGTTTCAGACAGAGCAGGCTTCAAAGCAAGGAAAACTACCAGGGATGAAAAAGGGCCATAATGATACAGGGGTCAGCCCTCAGAAGGTGTAAAAATCCTTAAGATCTATGTGCCTTAAAAGAGCATCAAAATGTGTGAGGCAAAAACTGATAGGAGAGACAGAGACTGCAACATTGCCTTTCAGAAACGGACAGATTCGTGAGGCAAAAAAATCACGAAGGACGTGGGAACTCAGGAGCACCATCCATCAACTGGATATAAACTGTGACACAGACAGTGGAATATAACTCAGCACTAAAAATAAATGAGCTATCAGGCCAGGAAAAGACGTGCGGAAACTTAAGTGCATATTACTGAGTGAAAGAAGACAAGCTGAAAGGGCTACATGTACTATAAGATTCCAACTATACAACGTTCTGGAAGAGGCAAATCTATAGAGACAGTAAAACAATCTGTGGTGGCCGCCCACTGGGGGTAGGGGGAAGAGGCTGAACAGGAGGATTACAGAAGCTTTTTTAGAGTAGGGAAACTATGACGTACAACATTATAATGGTAGGTATACGTCATAATACATTTTCAACATCTATAAGATATACAACACCAAGAGTGAACCCTAATGTAAATTATGGACTCCGGTGATAATGACATGTCCATATAGGCTCATCGATTATAAAAATGTGCTATTCTGGCGCACGATGTTGATAGTGGGGGGTTGTGAATGGGTCGGGGCAGAGGTATACGGGAACTTGGTACTTTCTGCTCAATTTTGCTATGAACCTAAAACTGCTCTAAAAAAAAATCTATATATATATATATTTTATATCAACCAAAAAGTCTTTTGAAAATTCTTTAAGGCTGCCCAGCTCAGCATCTTGAGACTAGTAATATATGCTGCTATATAACTGTATAGGGTTAATGTCCCGGTGTTCTCACAAAGAAGAAAAACACTTATATACGTGACTTAATTTAGTATCTGGGTAAGCAGCTACCAAGTGCCAAGCACTACTCTACCCTGCTCTCATGGAGGGTCCATTAGGTTGGAGAAGATATGTAATAAATGCATGAGAAATTACGATGGGAAGTGCGGTGGAGAAAATCAAGGACAGTTCAGCAAGTTTAGAGCCAGGGCGGGGTATGTGCATGCAGAGCCTTCACCGGTGAAACTGAAGCTGAGATGAGACCTGAATCACAAGGAGCCTGCAATGCCCAGATCTGGGAGGAGAGAGTTCCAGGCAGAGGGCAGAGCCAGGGCCAAGGTGCTGAAGTGGGAACGGGCGTGTAGTCGAGGAAGAAGGCGGACCGGTGAGAGGGCAGCGTGGTGAGCAAGGAGCATGCGGAAAGCTGAACGGGTTAAGGCGGTCTCTTGGTCGTGGTAGAAATTTGGAGTTTGACTCTAGATACCATGGGAAGCCTTTAGAAAATTTTAAGCAGGGAAAAAATGTGCTCTAAGTTTAAAACAGATCACCGTGGCAGCTTTATAGAGAGTAGCGAGGACTGGAGGGAGCCTGACTGGAAGCAGGGAGACCCAGCAGGAAGCTGCGGCAGTGACCCACGCAGCAGGGGACAGTGGTTTGGACTATGGTGACGCAGGGTGACGGCAAGCAGTGACCGCATTCACAGTGGTTTAGAGGAAGACAACAGGACCTGCTAATGGACTGGATAAGTGAAGTGAGGAGAAGAGAGACATTAAGAGCAACTTGGGGCATTTCCACAGAAACAACCGATTGAGGATGCCTAAGTCATGGCTCATTAGGAGACTGTATGCACAGTACTACGAAACGAAAACACCAGTGGTAATCCTGGGGCGTTAAAATCAAATATAAAGACGACAAGGAAGGCTAACAGAGAGGATCAGAGCAGAACCCCCTCTGCAGACCTGGGCTCAGAAGGTGGCTCAGGCCTCATGGAAAGGCTGAGGGACCCTTCTCGGCCAGCTGGCCCTCTCCGGGGATTCTGGTTAAGGACACTCCTGAGAATTCCTGGTGGAGCCACACTATTTTCCTAACGGGGGTTTCAGAGTCAAACAAACAAAGCAGCAGTGATTGGAAGAGGTTCCCCAGACCAGATTCCTATAAAGGGCTGAATCAATTTCTAAGAAATACATGGAGGCCATTCTCATTCGCCCACATGAAAGCCTGCTTGCTCCTGTGCTATGAATACCGGGACCCACAGCCCTGCCGGGTGGCTCAGCTGGTTAGAGAATCAGCTGATACTCCACGGTTGCGGGTTTGATCCCTGGTCAGGACACATACAAGAATCAACCAATGAATGCATAAATAAGTGGAAGAGCAAATCCATGTTCTTCTCTCTCTCTGTCTCCCTTATTTCTCTAAAATCAATAAATTAAAATACTAGGATCCACAGACATCATAAGCGGGGAAATCATCTCAATGGACAGATTTGTAACATGCTTTTATTCCCCTGAGGGGCAACTAATCTGACACAGGCCACGTGGCAAACACAACATTCGAAGTAATCCTTGGAGGCTTGTACCTTTATTCAAATCCTTGGCAACTCTCTAATCAAAAACCTCTCCGTTGCTCGAAACTGTCTCTAGTTCTTTATGACTTTCAGAAAGAACCCTGTAATTTTCATTTAAGAGCTTCTAATTTATCTAAAACTCTAAGTCTCCTAAAAGT